AATATATATATATATATATATATATATTTCCTTTCGAAAATATTTTTTTTCAACAACCATTAACTAAACTACGTATCTAGTAGATCAAAAAATACAAAAAAAAGACGTTATACACGTAGGCAAAAACTTCCAAGAGATTTAAAAAATTTAAAATATATATTTGTCTATGAGAAAAGTAAATACGATATTACACACGGAGACAAAAGATAATTTCTCCACAATTAAAAAAAAAAATTGAGAAAATATCTTTATTTATCAGAAAACTGGTAGATTATATATAAACAAAATTAACTAGGAACACAACCATATCCTACACCAAACAAAATCGTATCTACATTCAAACCTTCTGTAAAATGTGCTGACTAGAACAATTACAAAATAAAACTCAAACAATACAGATACCATAAACAGAATCAAAAAACCCACTTTGAACAGTCCAACAAAATCTTAAAATGGACAGCAAATACTATAGAAAAAATAATTTGTTAAATATATTATTCTATTTGCTCTTTTGAAATAAACGTGATTATCATATCCTAACATGAAACTAATTTCAAATAGCGCGTAAAGCAATGCAGAATAAGAAATATGTTATTATTGTTGAAATGTTTACCATGCACAAATACGGTTTTTATTCTCTATATACATCATTATTTATATTTGGTTAGTTCATAACTTTCTTGTTGATATCATTTTAATTATAATAACACATACTCGTGCGTGATGTATCTTTTAACATGTCTTTAATTAGAAGGAAAGCGTAATTAATTTGTTTTTAATTAGAAGTGGCGAGAAGGTTTTATATCTTACTTCTTGATGCTGCGGTTATTTAATACTTACTTGAGGTCTACATCATTCATCAATTAACATAGGGATTATATCTCGGACAGTTTGATGAGGTGTCGCAATTTGACGACGTCGTTTCGAAATGCTAGTGGAGATCTTCATTAACTTTTGAAATGACATCTCCGAATTACTGCTTATGAATACACCTCGTTTCACTATCCTAAATGAAACATTTCTCAGCACGTTTTTTTTTTTTTCAAATACAGTGATAACCGTTGAAATTATTCAGAAAGTCTAATCACTTTACGGTTCCAAGTTAATTTTTTAGAAGGGACAGGATTACGTATCTTTCTCGAGGAACAACTGCTAAATCTGAAACGAAATTTAAACCTCGTGCAATATTTATGCAAAGTATGTAGTATTGTAAAATGGCATGCTAACTTTATTAACACGTTGCATCACTTGAAATGGCTATTGGTTACTTTTAAACATTTTCCAAGCTAACCCATCCAATTTTTTGTTTTCTTTACCTCAAAGAAAGCTTAAAATTTAATAAGTTAATCCAGGTGTTGTTGTTTTTTGTTGCAATTGTATTAAGAATATAATTCTATGTCATTACTTTATTTCATTAGATATAATTGTTGTCGAAATAAAATATTGTGTTTATTTCAGGATATCGAAGTTTTCAGTTTTATAGGTGGATACATTGGAATTTGGTTGGGCATATCTCTATTGGCTATTCTAGATTTTATAGAAAGTATTATTCTTTTGTTTCGTTTCGTGCTAAAAACTTACATCAAGAAGAAAAAAGTAGCAACGCAAGTACTCCAGGGAGGCTCGTGGGCTCACATGATAAAAGAACCTATAGCTTACAAGAGACCTTACCAGCTAAAATCGATGACAGTTGGACAGTTTTCTACTGAAACTAAGCCTAGTTGGAAGAGGCGTTGCAAAATTCATGGTGTTCGGAGCGGACTGCACGAACATCGAATTGCAAGGATCAAACAAATCAACGCCATAACCCAAGAATCAAAGGAGTCAACGCCATAACCCATGGATCAAACGAGTCAACTCCTTTAACGCAAGAACTGAATAGACAAAATGGCCGGTACCCATAGCAATCATTAATCAATGAAAAGGCAACAGTAGAAAGGGCGTTTGTGATCGATGAAATGCTAATTATTTGTTGATTTTATACATGCTAACGTAGACATACATCATTTCTTAAAATAACAACAAAATTAGTTCGAGTTACTATATCGATAGTGAAGCAAAAAAAAAAGTGAGTTGACAACTGTATTTATAATCATATTGTTAAATACTTTTCGGGACACTACTTCTACTATAGTGTTATTTAATTGTAGAATATTGTATCTAGAGACACCAAACATTTAAAGCGGTTTTACTATGAATTTTACATTTTATTTTATGATCGAGGAATATAAACTATACTAGGCTAGTTTATTGTTTATTTAGAATTAAGCACAAAGCTACACAATGGGCTATCTGAGCTCTGCCCACCACGGGTATCGAAACCCGGATTCTAGCGTTGTAAGTCCGCAGACTGTGCCACTTGGGGGCGGCTAGTTTATTGGTTTAAAAGAAGTAATATAAAAGTTTAGTGTTGATAACTTTCGCTACACCTCGATTAGTCTTTAGACGTCACGTTTCCGACATTTTGTGGTTTTATACTTCGTTGTTGTGTTGTGGTAATTTTTTTTCGCGCAAGCTACTCGAGAGTTATCTGCATAGTCATCCCTAACTTTCAACCGATAGACTAGCTAGTCAGTAGCACCCACCGCCAAGTTGTCCACTGAAGATGGACCTCATCCTTATAACACACACGTCCCCCAAAGTACAGGGCGCGATTTAAAAATAATTTTTTTACCGGTAACAGAACGCGAAAATCCGTCACGTAGAAGTAAATAGTTTTACCGCCACTTTACAATATTCACAGTTTTAATTAACTTGGAACTGAAAGGTTAGCTTTATCAGAAGACAAGGGTTCAAAAAAACATTTGGCGAAATAGATTTTGTGTTTTGAAAGGTGATTTAAATATCCTTTGTAGTTGGTTTTTTTTTTTAGTGTATGTAAAACTGTCTTTTCATTTAACGCTAGGACTTTGTAGCAATAAAGCAACATGTATAAGATCCTCTTGGATGGTTCTAATAGGCAGTAGCACATAGTCTACAAATTTTTAAGTCAATGACGTTAACTGATACTAGCTTCTGATTAAACACACACGTGCGTATTTGTTGCTACATAACTCTACATGAAATTTAAAACACAATGAAAATTTGTTTTGATTAAACCAAATACACTATGTATGTTTACAAAACGATCGAACATGGACGTTTCACAAGTTAAAAATAAAAAAAAAATATTCTAAAGGACAAACTTAACCATAATCATTTCCCCAGACATTCCTAATCTTATGTAAATATTTCCATATTTATTCTTTTTTTTGTTCACCCCCCCCCCCCCAATGGCACAGCGGTCGGTATGTTTCTGCGTACTTAATACGCTAGAAACTGGGTTTCGATACCCATGGTGGGCAGAGCACAGATAGCCCATTGTGTAGCTTTATGCTTAACTTCAACAACAACTGTTCAGTCATAAGTAAATAATCCGTCAATTCACGCAAATTGATATGCATAAGTAACCTCTGTCGATTCTCTAATATAAATATATTATTAGACTGTTTGAGTGTTGATTCAAATACAAAAAACATTATTTACCATTAAAACCTGTGTACTCGAGAATGATCGCACCAGTGATCAAACATTGTAACTGTTTTCAAAAATATTTTTACTTCCTGTGAAAGCTGTAACTTGTAACAAACCTCTGTCGATTCTCTAATATAAATATATTGTTAGACTGTTTGAATGTTGATTCAAATACAAAAAACATTATTTACTATTAAAACCTGTGTACTTGAGAATGATCGGACCAGTGATTAAACATAGTAACTGTTTTAAAAAATATTTTTACTTCCTGTGAAAGCTGTAACTTTTAATAGAGAATCATTATGGAATTCTGTTCACAGAACAGGTGCACTCATCACATTAAAACACAGAAAGGTAAGTGTTAGGTTAATATTAACACTATGGTGATTTGATGTGTTTATTTTTTAAATTATACTGTTATCATGTTGTCGAAATAATTTTTGAAGGAGTAGGTATAGCTACGTACTCTAGAACAGTGCCAGTCCACAAGACAGTTGAAAAAATAATGTGTATTATAAAACATAACTACTGAAGTTTACTGTTTTACAATATAAAAGTACGAAGCAGTCCGTGAAATTTTGGGATCAGACTCCATTGGAAAAATGTTGAGAATCACTTCTCTAGAACACAAAATCTTGGAGCCATGTTTAATTTTTCTTTATTCTGTGCACATTGTCCCTAACTTTAAATATTTACCAAATTCTAAGTTACTGTGCAAGTTATTATTCATTACCAAACATGTGGCCACCACCAGTTGTACTCATCTCCACCAGCTGAAAACCTATATAGACACACATATATATTGTTTGTTTGTTTGTAATTAGGCACAAAGCTACAGAATGGGCTATCTGTGCTTTGCCCACCACGGGTATAGAAACCCGGATTCTAGCGTTGTAAGTCCGCAGACATACCACTGTGTCACTGGGGGGCCACATATATACACCTGGAAAAAAGTTAAGCACCCCCGTGTTTTTTTCAGGATTGCTTATTGAAAATAAGGTTTAATTTTCATGATGTTGAGCAATGTTCATAATTTCAAACATAATTAAAAGGATGTGAGCGTTCAGGT